TCATGTCCGGACTAGACCACCAGGCAGACTAACAGACCACCAAACCGTCTCCTCTCTCGGCACATCACCGACCCTCCATCCCGAGAAATTCTTTTGAAACCAGAACACCTTAAATCAAGCACTTCCCAAGGTGAAGTTGAACTTTTCGATACTCTATCCTGGTATCTCTTCGAGCTCCTGCGACTGCTCTTTCTGCGGCTCGGTAGCATTCAGAAAGCGTCGCCTGCTGCCACAACACACTTGACTCGACAACAATCTTGACGGACACGGCTGGCCGCACGGTTTCGTCGCACCTACAATACGAGCTCGAGAAGAATATTCTACGAGATAAACACCATTTATCGCCATGAACCCTCATCAGAAGAACAAAGTCGACGTCAAGGTAAGCATCAGTCGAGCCATCCCACAATTGTCATGCTACTCTTGACCGACGCTGCCATGTTTCATCATCACCCCGCTCTCCTGCGCAGCGGGATGTTTTCCCCAAGTCACACAGGACGTCATGGCTTGCAGAAGGCCTTGGGCCTACCCTGCGAGCCCCTCTGTATACTTGGAGTCAACTGCTAACGGATAATTTAACCCAAGTCGCTCTCTCCTGAGGAACAGCGCCTCTTCCGGCTATACGGCAAACTCCCCTCCCGATCCGACCACTTCGCGAAGCACCTCAAGGACCGCAAATACTTCGACTCCGGCGACTACGCCATGTCCAAGGCTGGCAAAGGCGATGGCGTTGATGCCGGTGCGGTTGGCTCTCAACACCCCGTCCCCGAAAACATCCCCCACCTTTCGTCGCCCATCAACAATGGAGCGAGCATTCCAAAGCACGGTCACCATGGTTCCATCGCCGGCATCCAAGCGGGCAGCCCGGTCAAGGAGAGTAGCTTCCTGCATCGTGAGACCAGTGCAGAAGACGCCTCTACAGGGGATGATTCCATCCCTTCCAACCATAAAGAGAACGTATCCCTTACCTCTGCGCCGCTGCAGTCCAACGAGGGTATTCCGATTCGCCGATAGCTCATGAATGAGAGATAGTTATACCACTTACGAAAATAGCATGAGGGGGAGGTGTACGTAACATGAAGCTGTTATACTTTTACGCAGTGCTACGTCTGAGACGACACGACTAGCCTTTGCCTTTTTTTTTTTCCTTTTTCTTTTTTTCTTTCCTTTTCTTTCCATTTTGTCCATTACTAGCTATCTTGCTGTTGTTGCGCACATAGGTTTGGCAAAGTTGGCGTTGGGTTATGGCACTGGTGCTAACCGCCGGATTTCGCTTCTATTCATGAGGATATCAAGAGAGAGAAAAGTTGAAAACCCCGACCACTGAATTGCTCCGTTTTGCCTGCCTTGACTATATGGAAGTGTTCGAATATCTGCCAAACAGTTTCATGTGTATGCTATCTGTTGTTGCGTTGCAAGGGCTATACTTTGTTTGTCACAGAGGAAACTTGAAGGGGCTGGGATAAAATTGCTTGGATGTACGCCGGCCCCGGGGGGG